CATTGTCCAGCTCCTCTGCCTCCCTCGAGTGGATTTAGCTTAACGTAGCTAGGGGAAGTTCCAGAATGTAAATTTCTTGAGTGCCTCTAGATGTTTCTGTAAGCAGTCAGACCTGGAAATGGCAGACCTTAGGGCCTCCTGGGTTTCAGGAAGGAGGAAGAGCTGTGCAGAGTCTTGCTGCAGGTCCACACATGCTGGACCCTTTAGAGGTTTGGGCCTGTGCTGATAGAGGACTAGGCTGCAGCACAGATAGCAAACAAAGCAACTATTTGGCAAGAAGAGTCTGAGTTACCCATTTACCACGAGAGATCTGTCAGTTCCAGGGAAGCCCCACAGAGGACAGCGAGTGGTCAGCCTGGGAGGGCCCCACTGTTCCACAAATGTGATGTAATATCCTGGCCTCACATCCTTCCCTTCTTCTTCTGGAAGCTTCTCTGTGAGTAGGGCCTCCCTCAGTAGAACCATGCACAGAAGTAGAGAGGGGATAGCGTCATTTCTCAGTGGCACTTGGGTTTCCCCAATTTAAACCCAACTCTTGTAACGACTGTGATCAAAATTACTGAATTCCCTACAAATGGTTCCAAGTTATTTGGAGTTCATTACAAATGGCAGATTTAGCACATTCTGGGTGTGGGAAAATGAGCGGCAATTGCATACACACATGGGCACTTCACACCACAAACAAATCCTATAGAAATAATCCAGCTCTGAGCACACTGTGTGCTGGGGTGTGCTTGTTACCCAGCCCAAATCAGCAGGAGGGAAGCAGGCTGTGGTCACCATGCAAACAGCAGGCTGAGGTCACCATGCAAGGTACTGAAATGACAAATGTACTGTCATGCTTTTATCTTCACCATCTGCAAAGGAGGAAGAGAAAGGGGGAAAAAAAAAGGACCACGTAGAGTTCATGATATGCAAATTAATTTACACATTCACTTTAAGTGCTAACTACCTTTGGATCAATTTTTTTTTGATTAAACAGATATTACATGGTCAAGTAGAAAATGCAAATAACGCATGACAGAGAACACAGGCCACATGCCGTTACTAGGAAACCATGATGATGAGGATGGTTAATCCCCACAACCACTTTGCTAGGTAGGTCCCAGAATTCTCCCCATCTTACAGAGGAGGAAACTGAGGCATAGGAAAGCTAAGTAATCAGCTGTACGACCTAAGTGAGTGAGTGGCAGAGTTCAGGTTTGAACCCAGGCTCCAGGTATGGTTGACTATCCTCTCAGTCCCCTCTACAGCTCAAGAGAGGCCTCTCTTCATCCTCACTCTTCTCAAGGACACTCTACCCAAAGCCATCTGTGTCAAGATCGCACCAAGGGCCGTTAGGCTCAGCCCTCATAGCAAAGGATGCAAAAGGACCTCAGACAACAAGAAGCACTTAGAACCTGAACCTTCTGGGTAAACTTCATGTCTAAAAGCCCCAGATTCCAGATTCTGGCAGTAACTCCTGGTGGCCAGTCTCCAAGTGGACACCAACAGGCTGGCTTCAGGCAAAATGCCTCTGGAAAGTGCTGACCTCCAGTGGGGGCAGAACAGGCAGTTCTGAGTGAAAGGGAGCTCGGAAGAGCTGCTGGTTCAGACAAACAAATAACCTCTGCTTTGAGACGGAAAAGTCATTCAACAAGGCCCCAAGGAAAGACCAGAAGAGCCTAGCAGCAATGCCAAGGGCATCTACCTCTGAAAGACACTTTGTGGCTCAAACGGAAAAATGCGTGTGAAACATTGTAACACATGAATCCTTACTATGTATCAGACATTGTGCTGTTCTATACACATCCGGCTATTCTGTCTTTTAATCTTCAAACAGTCCCGATAAGGTATTTTAAAAATCATCATTTCACTAATAAGGCAACTATTTCAGAGAAGCGAAATGAGTTACTCTAGACCAGGACACACAGCTTGGAAATCATAACACATGTCCTCACATCAGGGCTCCAAAGGTTAGAGCCGCAAGAGTCAATGGCCTTGATCTCTACTTCCACAAGTCTTCCTGCTACTGAAAACAGCTTCTAAGAAGCTGAGGAATGGTTAAAAATTTCAGACCTGTAAGAGCTCAGATAGCTGGTCCCAAGCGACTGACTGGTGACCCAATCTATTGGTCACGTTGGCCCAGAGAACTGTCTGTGATAATGGAGATGTTCCACATCTGCACAACCCAATATGGTAGCCAATGGGCACACTAGAAATGTGACTTGCGTGATGAAGGAGATGGCTTTTCATCCTTCCTGAATTTTACTAAATTTAAACTTCATTAGTCGCACATAGCGAGGGGCCACGTTCTTGAAAGAGCAACTCTGCAGATTTTCTCACTGCATGTTTGATTTCCTGGGCACCAGAGGATGAAGCTGCAAGGACACCCACAGTGTCCCAGGGCAGCTCTCAGTACAAAGTAAGAAAGAAAAAGTTCTCACTCTGGAGCAGATGCCATTGCTATGACTTGGAACCTTTGCAGTTGGGAGAGAAAGAGTGAGAGATGGCCAGTTCCCAAGCAAAAGGGCTCTCAGGTTTTATTTTTATTTTTTCCTTTTAAAAGGGGGGAAAAAAAAAGAATATATTAAAGGGCCCCAACTAAATTACCTAGGGAAGGCTGCCACTTTTTCTGGTGACAAATGCCTTTGGCTTATGATGACACAAGGGCTCAAATATGGTAAAAAGGAAAAGCCAGAAGGGTAAACAAGAAGAGGCCCAGCACTCTCTGAGGTGTCATAAATCCAGAGGAAACAGACTGAAGGAGAGAGAAGCTTCCAAACATTCTTCCTCTTGAACTATTTTAAGCAACCGATACACACAATTTCTCGGAGCGTATTTCATTCACAACAACAGAGAGAAGCAATGTGCTTCACGGGATACATTTTTAAACAAGCAGAGCAACAAATACCTACACTGCGGGCTGTGTGTCCCATTGGCACCCCACCGAGTGGCGTTGCTATTTTAAGGCACCTAAATGGGCACATTTGTTGAGAAGCAGCAAGTGATGCTTGGCCTTGCTTCAGCCACCTTCACTCCTGGGAAGAACCCATTCATTTCTTGCTCAGGAAATCATTGCATATGCTTAGTCTCCACCCAGATCACTCCTGAGGACAGGAGGGGACAGCAGGGCGACTGCGAACTCCGGAGCACAACGGCTCTCTTGAACTAGCTACATCACATGGACTTCCTTGACCTCAGTTTCTTCAGCTATAAAATAGCAATAGGAAGAATACAGATGATAAGAATTACATAACACGCGGGAGGCCCACAGCCCAGGGCCTGGTACCTTTGTAAAGGCTCCATTCATCTTGGGACTGAGAGTTGAACCTCTTGGTTCTCTGGCTGGGGAGAGACCGTGTGGTTGAGCAGTAGAGAATCTGGAGGAAGGCTGCCTAGGTTTGTTAGTCTTATCCAGTATGACCAGTGTGACCTTGGGCAAGTTCCTTAACCTCTCTGGGCTTCTGTTTCCTCCCATTAAAGATGGGATTAATAATACCCACTGCATTTACCAGTGGGGTAAGAATCATGATTATGGGGTGCCTTGCCATGCAAGCCTAACTCTGCCCTTCCCAGGCAATTCAGTTTTCTCTTGGGGTTCCATGGAGATCGCTACAGATGAGGCGTGAACCAGAGCAGCATAGCTGTGAAGTGAAGGAAAGCCACCATCCTGGGTGGGGCGACAAAATGAGCACTCCAGGACAATGATGCTTTCACCACTAATAATAGCTAATGTCTGAGCGCCCTGTGTACCAGACGCTCCCGAGAGCTCTACCCACACGGTCCGGGCCCTTCTCCAGACCATTCAGTTAGAATTTCTGGAGGTGGGACCTTCAGACAGGCACACGCTTTTATTTTCAAGCTGTCTAGATGATTCTAATGTGGAATGACAGCCACCCAAAGGGACAATGCTGTGAGACAGAAACTACAGCCACCCCATGGAACGCAGGAGGAAAGCCGAAGCTCAGAGACACCAGGGAGCTGGTCGGCAGTGAGACAGTGGGCACTCCTCAGCTTTCTCTCCTTGGCCACTCGGTGCCCCGCCCCTCCTGAGGGGCAAGGACCAAGCCACCTCAAGGGCCCTTGGCTACTCCCATGCCATTCTGAGACCTACGCCAGGCCCGGGGCCTGCTGATCTCCAAGGAGCCGAACCTGCCTGGAAATGGTCTTGCTCTTCCAAAATTAAAGGACATTCACGCAAAGTCATAGTGATTCACAGAACAAGTGGACCTAATTAAGCAGACCCCATGCTAATGACAGGAAACGACAGAGCTGATGATGGTCACTGAAGGCTGCTGGCTGCCTGCACGGACGCCAGCAAGCAGAGCTCAGGGGCTCTTCAGGCCATCAGCTGAAGGGATGGCAACACCGACAATGGAATCTCGCTGCCTGAGTCTCGGCCCAGCCCTGATGGACTGTGCCCACCCACTGGAAGGGGACAAGAGGCAAAGTTTCAACCCACCATATGCTTAACGAAGCTCGAGGTGGCCTTGCCTCCCAGCCAACCTCCTATCTGGTATCTGTGCACTGAGTTTGAAACAAGCAACCCAAATGGCACGGGGACTCTGGCTCAGCCCCGCTTTCTCATACTTCAACCGACAGCCACTGTCTCTATTTCGGTCAACAGCTCTCCCCTTCTTTCAGTTACTCAGATGGGAAACTTGTCACGCTGATTCTCCTCTCATTCCTCACACATCCGAGCTGCTGGCAAATGCCACTGGTGCCAACCTCAGAACACACCCCCGATCCTCCACGGCCGCCCTGGTCCCGGCCCCCATCTTCTCTCACCTGGGTTATTTTAAAAAACCTCCTAACTGGTCACCTTGATTCCAAGCTTGATGCTATAGTCCATTTCCACAGAGTGGAGAGAATGGCCTGGTTAAAGTGCAAACCAAATTGTGTCACTCTGCTGAAGTCCCTCAATGGTTCCCAGCTTAGATTTATACCACGACCTTCGAGGCCCTACCTAACCACATCACCATTTCCCCTCTGCATGCTGCCCCCCGCCCCAGCCACACCTGCTATTCCCTCCACTTGGAGTTATCTTCTCCTGCCACGCTGGCCTCCATGTGGCCTGCTCTTCCTCATTATCTGCAGGGCCAGCACTCTCTCTTCTTCTGATCTTTTATTTATGTTTTATTGCCAATATTTGGAACAGTCCCGGTACACAGTAAATCCTCAGTCGAAATTTGTTAATGAACAAACCACACTCTGAGTCTCTCCCCTGCTCCTAATCCAGAGGCCCACCACCCTAAACACTGTCTTCTCCTTAAAGACCAGTGAGCTGGGCACAGTGGTGCATGCCTGTAATCCCAGCAACCCAGGAAGCTGAGGCAGGAGGATCACAAGTTGGAGGCCAGCTTGGGAAACTTAGTGAGATCCTGTCTCAAAACAAAAATAAATAAGTAAATAAATAAAAAGGGCTCCAGATGTGGCTCAGTGGTAGAGCACCCCATGCATTCAAACCCCAGTGTGTGTGAGCGGGGAACCAAGAGGGTAGAAAACACTGCCTAGGACACTTTCTGAGCATCCACTGGACAGGCGAGGGGTCATCCTGATGTCTTTTCACGCAGCTCTACCCCTGAGGCCCCGTCACCTGCTATTCAGCTAGGTCCCAGCACAGTTCTGGCCTGTGTGACGTGCCCTGGGAGGATTAAGGCCAGAAGAACAGCTGCAAGCAACTTGCTTCCAAGTTGAGTCTCCAAGTACAAGCTGATTTAGCCAGCTACAGAAATGAGTTGAAGAAAAAACCACTGGGTCCCTAGTTTTCAAGAAGCAACTTGTTCCTGGACACCAGGCACTAGCCCTCAGCTGACTTTCAGCTTAGGATCTGGAAGATGGTTGGGCTGGTGGGGAAGGGGGCCACACAATCCACCCCGTTTACCTTGCTTCCATCCCACCTTCCCAAGTCCTGCTCAAGCCTGGGGTCTAGGAAGGAAGTTAGAGTCCCGTACACCTCAGAGCACCAAGCACCACGTCTCGGCCTTCAGAATTCCTGGCAGCCTGTTATCCTCAGTTACTCTAATTTTCCCTCCTCTTTGAAAAACCGGCCCTGCCAACTGCAACAAACAGCATTTAAAAATATCTTGCTGGATTATACAGGACCGCCTTCTAAATTCCTTACAATGCCTGTCTCTGTCCCACATAGGATAAAGAAGGGTGTAGCATATTTAATTTTTTTCTCTTTCTAGCTGCTCCCCAGCTATAAATACCCAAGTCTGGGTAGACAGGCTTCAAACACTGGCTGTATGAAGTCACCTCGGAGCTGGATCTCGCCACAGTGCGGGCCTGCCAGGGCCTGGACACAGCTGTCAAGTGCTTTAGGTCAGCCAAAAGCACACAGAACTCATCTTCAGGGCAGGGGAAAGCAAAATTCTAAGTACAGTAATCACAGTTCATGCTAATAGAAAAACTATGGCCCTCAGTCCTGCGACTCAGCTGGGCCTTCAGAGAGCACATCCAGTTCCATCCTGGGCTGTTTCTTTCCTGAGGATACTAATTACAGGGCTTGACCTTAGAGAAATGATTTCACAGTGTCCTTGTGGGGTCCAGAAACATTATCAGAGACCGAAAGGCCCCTGGAGAATCTAGGCCAACCTCTTCACACCACAGACGGAGAGCTCCAAGAAAATACAATGATTCACTCTGGTCACAGAGGGGGCAAACTTCAGCCCAGAATTTTCTGGATCCAAATCCACAGTTGTCTGCACTGAATTGTCCTAGACATTTCTGCACACATACTTGCCTGGAATGTGAGCCTTTGCTGGGTTTACTAATAGCTCTCCTCACAGCAAGTACTCATTTTCCTACTCTAAAGAAGAAGGGGAAAAAAAGTTTTAAAGTTTTCAGTCAAAGGGGTTGCAAGCATAGCTCAGTGGTAGAGCACTCGCCGAGCATGTGAGAGGCCCTGGGTGGATCCCCAGCACCATGAGAAAAAAAAAAAAGTTTTCAGTGAGAGCGTGTCCTCAATTGTAGGGATGGTTTTTCTGACTAGAAGGCCTGTTTTACACTTTGAGGGCCAAATTCAATCTCTCCCCAAACCTAACCTTATCGCTTCAGTATTTCCAAGCTCTTTTCCTATTTAATTTTCTCTCCTCATGGGACACTTCCTAGCTCACTTTCAAAATAGTGGACCTCAAATCACTAACTATAAATGACCCTGTACGTACTTTTGCAATAATGTTCATGGAGTTTATCTTCTGAAGTGACAAGAAAATTCCTTCATAACACTGGGGTCAGGAAAAGGACAAACACCCAAGTTATTAGCTAAGCCCCTGATGATCTTTCACATTTTGCTGTCAGCAGAATTTGGCTGGACCCTAGGGTGTTCAATCCAGATGAAAATGAGCTGTAGGGTGGTCTGCAATATCAAGCATGTCACATGATTGAAATCTTTCTCGATGCTCTAGAAGCACCTGAAGCAAGCACCAGAAAAGCACTAGACATCTGAGAATCGAGCTGTCATTGGATAAGGCCCAAACTGGAAATTAAACATATCAAGTTAGACTTAAAACCAAAAAAAAAAAAAAAAAAAATGTTCTGGGATGCTTTTATCTCATCTTGTTTTATGTTGCTCCCTGCTTCCACAGTGGAGAAGCCTGCTTTGGCAAGATCAAATTCAATGGTCTCATTTAATGAGTTTGCCAGTCCTAACTTTGATCTGTACTGGGATCGCTCTGGCCTGAAATGCTCTGCTCAGGGCCATGGAAGAAACAACCAACTCAGAAGCCAAACTCAACAGGATAAGTAAGGCCGACTGAAGGTTCCTCATGCCCTTCGACCTACATTGGCTTGGGTCAGGTCCTCTTCTGTTACTCTTACTGCTGGGACAGCAAATGGGCTCATTTTTGAGGTCCAGCTTTCAATCAGCAAGAGGAGTAATGGGACTCAGGGGCTGTGGTCAAGATGAGCTGGGAAACAGACACACTCGATTTCTGATTTATAAAATCAGTTTTGGAAAACTCTTGTCCTGCACTCTGGCAGGCTTCTTAACATCTGGATAAAAGATGTGGGAAAGTTTTCCCTTTTCCTGTGTTATCTCCCCTGCTCCTCCTTCTCCTCGTTATATATCTGAAGCTCCCAGCCAAACAGGGTTACTTGCTATTCTTCAACACACACATCTTGGCTTCCAGGTCTTTGCTCACACTGTTCCCTCTGTCTAGGGACCTCTGTGCTCTGCACAACCTCCCCAGTTCTCAGTCACAGCTCTGCCTGACATCCAGTCTTATACACTCACTGTACCTTCCACAAGACGCCTTGAATCTCTTCCACCCACTTGGGTGACTGGGATTGGGATCACTCTCTAATCATCAAAAGCTTCAAGGTCCCCATTTATGTGCTGGACAGCGTATCTACCTTTCAGAGAGGATGAGGGATTGAATGAATTGGCTCAAGTAACACACTCATAATGGGTACCAGATGCAGTAAATGAAGGCTATCAGCATTGCTCCATCATCATTTGAAGCACTGATTACAAATTTCTTCACAACTATCCATGATGTGCTCGCATCCCCCACTAAACTCCTCCCCCGATGAGGACTCTTATCCGCCAATCTCCTCTCTGCCTTATACAGAGCTGGTGTTTGGTGAGTGGTAGGTTAATGAGGCTGGTGTGGCACCTCTCAGGTTTACTTGGGTTGTGTTTCTTAATCATTTCCTCCTAGTCCAACATGCAGATCCAAACAGCCAAAGCTGCAAAAACCATTTAGGTCTTTTTAAAAACAAGCAAGTTGACCACAAAGTATGTTTACATGACACACCAGCAAAACACAAAACACCTGCCATCCCTGTGGCTCTTGACTTGGCGGCTGTAACAAGCCCGGTCCAATATCCACAGAACTGCTCCCTGGGGGCCTGGAGCTTTGAATCCACACTGCTGCTGGCAGGGGTGGGCCTGAGTTCAGGGGTAGCAGTCTGATCTCAATCCGCACCACCCCCGCACCCAGACAGCTTTGTCCTGGGGACAATCAAGCCATAACTGAGCAAAGTGTCAGGGGGTCTTTTCCAGATTCCACCACATGTTCCTAGCGCCACACACAAACTCTTAGTCACCAAGAAGAGCCTTGTGACAAATATTTGTCACTCTTGAGATTTGGGCCATGGTTTTCCCCTGTATGAGAGGCTCCCACTTTAGCAAAAGCAAACAAAATTAGTGCATTCAACATGCTTGAAAAAAAAAAAGACAACTAATATTCTGTATGCCAGAAACAATGCAAGGTTCCTCACAGAGAGATGCTTATTAAATCCTCACAACCATCCTATGAGTTGGGAACTATATTCAGTCTTAGCAGTATTTCTCTGTTGAGGTGACACCTGATCCGCAAGGGATATCTGGAAATTTCTGGAGACATTTTTTGGTTGTCACAACTGGTGGTGAGAAAAGGGTGTTATGAGGCATCCTATAGTGCACAGGACAGCTCCAGGCCAAAAAAAGAAAAAGATTCAGAATGTCAGCAGTGCTGAGGTTGAGAACATGGCTTTAGAGAAAGAAGGTAAGGCATCCAAGTTAAACAACCTGCCCAGCATCACACAGGTCCCAAGTGGAGTTTGGAGGCATCACACCCAGGCAGTCCCAACCATGCCGCACTCTTCTCACCAACTCAGAAGCTTCTCTAATATCCCCAGAGCACTGAGTGCATCAGGGGCAACCGTCCCGGGCAGCCAGAACCAACCCCTCATTTCTCGGCAAAGGAAGGAGACTTGGAGTGAGGGCACAGGTCAGTAATGGACAGAGCAATTTGGGACCCAACTTGGTCTCCAAAGCCAGGGCACCACTGTTATGCAGGCTCCTTCTGTCCCTGTGCAACTAACACCAAGACTTAGCAGCCGGACACCATAGTGGAGTCTAAGGAAATCAATTCCACCTTCAAAAAGGCTCTTCTCCCAACTCCTAGGGAAGATTGCTAAGCTCTCAAGATCAGTGGCCTAAATGCAGGGTCACTTGAGCTCTCCCTCCTTGGCCTGTCCACCTTCCTTGAGCCAGCTCCCCTCACCTATGGAGGAGTGTCATGTAGCAACTCTGCAGCTTTTCCATCCAGCTGAGCTTATTGATCACCTAGAAGCTGCCCCTTGTATAGCCCTCCCTGGGTAGCAGAGCTCCCCGCCCCATTAAGAGCCATAATAACGGCTCCTTCAAATCAATGGCACCTCTAGGGCACACTCCCTGGGCCAGGAGAGTCTCTGCTGGTCTAACAAATTGGAAGTGCCTGGAAGTGGTAGGCCATTAACAAATGGGATCTGTAAGAAGTAATGCTGCTGCTATGAGTCTTACCCTAACTGCCATCTGAAGAGGGTCAATGCTGACCTGTTTCTTGCTACCTTTATTCTGTGATTCTCTACAGGAAAAGCCCAGGCTTGGAGACTGAACAAGTGAGGGCTTAATCCTTGCTCTGTCATTAAGGAGCCGTGAATTCCAGGCCCCTGGAGACCCCTCTGTGAAAGCACATCCCACTCACAGGATTTTTATGGGGATCCAGCAAGGTCACAGATGAGAAAAAGTACACAGTACCGCAGAAAAGTCAGGCCTATTACAGCAGCTGAAGAATCACAGAAACGGGTCAAATTATCTACCCACCACCCTACTGGCAAAGTCTATATCCTGATGGGAAGGTGAGAGGACAAAACTGAGGACCAGTGGCAAAGTGTCTCTGCTTCTTTCTGAACCTCAGGTGTTGTTTATGCAAAGCAGGAATTGATTATCTTGGGTCATTCCTTGGACAGGAGGCAGATGGGTGGGCCACAGGTGCAATCTCTTCGGACCAAGTCATCAACAGACATTGTCCTCTCAGGCCACTGTGCTGGCAAGGGGAAGATTAGCATAGTTGTTTTTTTTTTTTTTTTTTTTTAGGATTAAACCTAGGGGCACTTAACCACTGAGCCATATTCTCAGCCTTTTAAAATTTTGAGACAGGGTCTTACTAAGTTGCTAAGGCCGGCTTTGAACTTGCAATCCTCCTGGCTCAGCCTATCGAGCTCAGTATAGCTTTTCTTAATGAAACTTTCCCCTCAGTCCTCCTGTTGACTTACCTAAGCAGCCTGTTGGATCTTTGCTGTGAAACCCTTCCACATTGGGTTCAGCACACGAAAGGCAACCTCTTAACTAAAATCCCCCAAGCTGACATTTTACTCATCATAGACAGCCTTGGGGAGCCTGCTAGCAATGAGGGTATCAACTGGCTGAATGAAGTCCCTAAGATGTGGTGACCCCCCAAATTGCTGCCTCTACTCACCAAGAACCAATCGAGATTCTCTGCTTTGTTAAAGGGGGAAGGTTCTTCCAAGGTGTCAAAGGAATTCAAATACAAATTCTGGAATTAAAAATTAAAACTGTCATCTGCCAGACAAGCATTTACAGAGCATCTATTATGGGTTAGACACTGTGGGAGACCTAGGGGAGATGACAAAGCCTGTGAGGTCACAGTTTGATGAGAGACAGACAGAAAGAAACAGGAAATGATTCAAGAAGATTCCCTGGTGCTGTGGGAATTTCGAGGCGGAGGGGCTCCTCCAGCTGTGGGTGGGAAGTCAGGTGAAGTCTTCTGGAGGAAGCCGACTGACTCCAGCTTGTTCCTCTGCCTACTTAAACCTGGGGTTGCATTTCTCAAGCAAGGAAAAAAAAAAAAAAGTTATCATGTCCAAAGCTTGCCTTGATTCAGTTTTACCGACTCCCTCGTCTTCAATAAAATGGTCAGAAGGAAGGGGAGCTGCCCTCCTCTCACACTATCCAGGGTGGAAACTGATTAAACAGCAGCTCACAGTTCAATTAACCCCCCTGCTCCTTCCGTTGATTATCTCAGTGGAAATCCATCCTGCAGTCTCCTTGATAAATGAATCCTACAACCAGAAGCGTTTTCATCCTGGCTTTAGAGGCATCCCCTTTATTTCTTGGCTGAAAATCAGATGTTGAGGCTTGCCTCGCTGATAAGTGAATAATTCAGAGAAGTCCTGGTCATTATTTGTGGCCAGAAGGTCCTTAGATAGTTGTATTGATATTATTGGCTATTGCTAATGAAACTTCAGAGAGGTCTTCCTTGTCCGTCTTAAATTAGCCCCAGTCTTAAATTATCCTATTACTCTGTCCTTTAAAAACAAACAAACAACAAAAAAAAAAAAAACCCTAACCACAACCAAGAGTAAATTCTTATTTGCTTTTTCTTATTTTCTCTACTGGATTATAAACTTTATGAAAGGAAGACTCCCCTTGCCCACCACGTAATTCACAGCACATTTTTTCTTTCTTTCTTTCTTTCTTTCTTTCTTTCTTTCTTTCTTTCTTTCTTTCTTTTTCTCTCTCTCTCTCTCTCTCTCTCTCTCTCTCTCTCTCTCTCTCTCTCTCTTTCTCTCTTTCATAGTGCTGGGGATTGAACCCAGGGCCTTGTACATCTGTGCAAGTGCTTCACCACTGAGCCACATGCCCAGCCCTTCACAGCACTTTTAACACTGGTGTTAAAAGGTTCTTCCAAGGTGTCAAAGGAATTCAAATACAAAATACAGGGTCAGTGCTGAGGAAATACTTGTTGAATGAATTGTTACTATTTATTGAGCATTTACTATGTGCTAAGGTCTTAAAATGTATGATCTCAATCTTCGTATCAATCTTATGAGCTAGATGTTACTATCACCCATTTTATAGATGACACCACTGAGGCTTGGATAGTCAACAAGTTTCCCCCAGGTCACTCATATAAATGGCAGAGGTAACTTCAAACCTCATGGTGATTTCAAAATCAGTGCTCTTTACCACTATGATAGAGCAACCCTTATGTGCACCCTGGGTACTGACTGATCTGGAGCAAGATCATTCTTATCAATATCCCTTCATTTAATTGAAACTGAAGAGGATTTTCTCAAAGATCAGACAATCATTAAAATTTAGTAAGAAAAATCGCCAGGAAGAAACCCAGAGCTAATGCTCTGTACCAAACTCACATACAGGGAGTTTCTTGAGAAATAGAAGAACGCAGAGAGAGAGTGTAAGGAGAAGTTTCTACTTTCTTGGAGCCCTCTGTTTATAAATACTACTCTATTAAAGTGGTTTCTCTGCTTCCCATAAGGAAGTCATGAAGATATCATCGTTTAATGACATTGCCCTGGGATCTGAGACATCAAAAACAAATGAGCAACAATATATAAATTCTGCAGCTCTATGAAGCTGGAATCATGTTTTATAAACACTACAGTACTTTTATCATCCATCTTGGGCTGAGCAAAACCATATTTGTCCAGCATTCTGAGTAATGGACAAGAATAGATGGATTAGGGCTCTTAAAATTCCTAGTTGGAAGACATTAAAAGTTTAAGAGCTCTATATAGCTGAGTCAAATGCATGTGCCCATGCTATATAATTAGGAGGCACAACAACAATAAATATATAATTTAAAAGAGGAGACCAGCAGGACAAGAATACTAACCAGCACTCTCCCTCCCATATGTAGCCGATCCCCAGTTGGTCTTCAGCTGTGCAGACTGTAACCTTGCTGGTCTTGGAGTCATTTTAATATAACAAAGGTTCAGATCTTTCCATTTCTTTCCTAAGCAGTTTATGCTTCTCTCTGAAGTCGGCTTTCAGGCATAAGCAATTCATTGCTCCTCAACTAAATATTCATTTTACTTTGTCTAAAGGGACTTAATCAATCAGCCTAGTTATGGTTTTGAGAGGCCACCCCCTGGTTTTCATGTATAAGAAATGAGTATTCATGTCACTAAATGGAAGCCAAAGCTCACCTTGCCTGTAAAGGAGTTCCCTGGAGACTAGCAAGTGGAACAGACGGAGCTATTCTGGCTCTCAACATCTGAGGAGCTTTGCTGTCTGTCACACAGGGAGTCCTGCTGCCTCAACTACCATGGCTTCAGGGCTGTTTGGGAGTGGAGGTCGGGATGAGTTAAAACCAAAAACCCATCCTGTAGAGAAAAATCCCAAGGAGGACTGATTCTTGATAAGCTATGGCTCCTTGGTTGCAAGCATTTTAGACTATGACACTGTTTGCTAGCCATTCCTGACCACTTTGCATTTTTAGGTTACCCTGGAGAGGCAGCCGCTCTTTTTAGCTTCAACTCTGCATTTGGAAAAAGTTTTCCAACTTGCTGAGCACAAGCTAGGAATGAAAGTCTTGTTTTGCACCCATTGTTCCACATTTATTCTAGTAGTTTATGGAGTTAGGGCTCTGGTCTTTTCGCCTAGGAGCCTTTGAGTTCCGTCTGGGCCCCCCTTCAGCCAAAAGTACAAAACTCTTCCCCTGGACTGTGACAGCTTGATGGAAATCCCCCTGCCCTCCACTTCCTCTCCAGGAGCTGGTGTTGCTGGTGGTAAAGCCATGAACTTGGAGGGAGAAGCACAATTACCAGCTGTGACATCACCAACTGAGTTTCTGGATTGACCTCAACTCTGACCTAAGAGGAGGAAACTGAAGGTCAAAGTCTCTTCCGTTGCAGGCATCTCCTTTGGCAGTGCCAGCACTGAAAACCAAAGCGAGGAATGTTAAGGTGAGCTGCACTGGGTAAGCAAGTGTCTTCAAAATCGCCTATTGTGTTGATTTCTCTCCTTAGAAGCTGGACTAATGAAAACCAAGCTGTTTCTTCTCCCCCAGTGGTTAGCAGCTTGAACTCTCTGGAGCATGCCAGGGTTCAAATTCCAGTTTTGTCAATATCTGTGATCTTGGGCAGATTACTCAACTGCTGAGTATCCTGGTTTCCCTATCTGTGAAATACCTACTTACTGGAAAGTCAAACCATGTTTGTTCCTTTTTTTGTTGTTGTTGTTGTTTTTTGGTACCTCAGATTAACTCAGGGGCACTCCACCACTGAGCCACATCCCCAGCCCTTTTTTGTATTTTTATTTAGAGACAGAGTCTCACTGAGTTGCTTAGGGCCTTGCTAAATTGCTGAGGCTGGCTTTGAACTTGCAATCCTCCTGCCTCAGACGTCCAAGCTGCTGGGATTACAGGCGTGCGCCACCGTGCCCACCTTGCTCCATTCTTACACCACAATCAACACAGAAGTCTTCTCTCAAAAAGTGTGGGAATTCCTCCTCAACAGCAATTCTGCAATAACAGACACCAGCTGCGTATCCTCTAAGTTAACTCAAGTCTGACACTATGTGAGAGTGTCAAATCTCATGGGTTGAGGGTGCAGTACCCCCTGCATTGTTTCACTGTGCTTCTGATCATCTGGCTATAAATTGGGGTTCATAAAACCCCTTCCTCAGGTTTGACTAATTTGCTTGAGTGGCTCACAAAAACTCAGGGAAACACATTTGCAAGTATATTATAAAGTTATTACAAAGGATACAGATGAAGACATGCATAAGGCAAAATATGGGAGAGAGAGTCCCACCCTCTGGCAACCTCCACTTGTTCAACTACCCAAAACTCTCCAACCATGTCCTTTTGAGTTTTTATTTAGACTTCATTACACAGGCATATTCATTAAATCCTGGGCCATTGGTGATCAACTTAACCTTCGGCCTCTCTCCCTTTCCCACCAGTTTAGGAGATGAGGCTGAAAGTTCCAATATTCTAAAGTCCTGCTTTGGTCTTTTTGGTGACCAGTCCCCACCCAGAAGCTACTGGGTCAACCCAACTCATTAGCATACAAAAAGGCACTACTGCTTTGGGATCCAAGAATTTTAGGAGTTGTTTGCCAGGAAATGGGGATGAAGATTAAATATATATTTCACAAGCTCACACTAGCATATAAAAGGAGTTAATATAGAAAGTGCTATGGACAATGACCGACACGTTAAATGTTATTTTAAATTTCAGCTATTATGAGTACGTTAAATTAAATTTGATTTTGGCTCCCTTTATCCCCTTCCAATAAGAGCGCAAGGATGTCTAACCAGAGCACCATTCTAAATAATTCATGGTGTCAACTCCTGAAATTGGAGTCTGAGAGGCATTTGCTGTTGAATGCCTGTCACACCCTAACCTTACCAGGGAGAAGGTCAAGTACTTTGCTTCTATCCTTTGCACTGAAGCCATGTCATCCTTCAGAGAAATGCAACTACCCAGTGGTTCCTTTTCTGGATCTGACACCATGCATTTGCCCATGCCCCCACCCCTTCATCATAATGTGGTTTATTGAGTGGGTCATTGTTCTTTTGGGGAAAGCCCAGAAAGTTGTGCTTTTGATTCAGCATGGAGTTTCAATCACCCACTCACCTGGTTAATGACAGCTTGGGCAAAGCCCTGGGAGCCAGCTTGTGCTTCCCTTTCTGGGAAGGGGTTTCAGGAATCACCAGATTCCATAACCCTGTGGTGCAAAGTGTTAAGAATCAGCCACTCCCCCTCCATCTCCCATGAGAGGCCCTGATTCTGGGTATCCTTTAACCCAGCCAAGACTAAGGTTCAGTAGGAGCTCCTGGCTCCTACTGCCCATTCCACTAGGCAAGACTTGGGTCTTGGAGTTTGGACCTTTCGGCAGCTGCTATTGGCCTGAAGAAAACCAGAGATAAAACAGTCTATCTGTCCAGTTGTTCAGGAAAAGCAACAACTAGAAAATCAGCCACGAAGGGCAAACAGCGGCAGGCCAGCAAGCTTAACTTCAAGAAAGGTTCAGGAATGGCTTGGTCCAGAGACTCAATCTCACCTAAACAGCGAACGTACCATAGAAAGTCACAATGCCACACAGAACATGACGGAGCCGATTGGCCATGATTTTATCCTCCAAAAGTCAGACACCTATGACAATCTCTGACAAGAGATTTTTAATGAACTCCTCCACCCTCAGACCAAACGCTTTTCCCGGGAGTCCTGGCACACGTCTTAAGAAATTCAGTCCCTGAGTAGCCCACCCCAAATGTGGGTCCAGGCTGGCACACTTACCATTGGCGTTCTTGCCGCAGATGAGATGCTCATAGGGCTGCAAGACACCCCAGAGCTCAGCGTCGTTGTTGATGACCATTTCCAAGGCTTCAGCGGACACCTCCCCGCCACCTGCCCCACCGCCTTCGGGGCTCTGGCTGGCCAGCACCCTAGCCCGAATCTCCTCCACCAGATTCTCCGTGCACGCGGTAAGCGAGATGGCCGCGTACTCGTGAATGCGCACAGAGATGCGAGTATCCACCATCCAGCGGAAGAAGCGGCCCACGGAGAAGGTGAGGCCGCAGCGCGCCGACTTGCCCCGGCGCAGCCCGTCGCCGGCGCTCATGCTGTATAGGGACAGTGCCTTGACCGCGGCCAGCGCACAGCTTTCGGCCAGCGCCCAGCTGTGCACCAGGCGCACAGCGCTCTGAACCTCGAAGCGGGTGCACTTGGCGTGCAGAACGCTCAGGCGTTGTGCCTCCCTGGCCACGCGGATGAGAGCCCGGCGGAGCAGCCCGGCCAGGCGCCTCACCGCCTCGGCGGAAAACGCCGGCAGCCGCCGGCCTCCGGCGCCTTTGCGAAGCACCCGGGCCACGTCTCCTTCGGTCCAGGGGAACTCCTCCAGTTCTGGGAGCCGCGGGCACCGCGAGAAGAGGTCGGCCACTTCTGGATCCTCGGGCAGCACCGTGTTCACCGTGTCCCAGCTGTTGTGGCGGCTGTTCATAGAGCCGGAGTAGCACCACCAGGCCGCCCCGCGGTGCTGCTGCGCGGAAGAGTTGAGCGCCTGAGAGTTGGACTTGGAGGACGAAAGGCTGAGAGAGCGGCACGAGTCCCCGGCCCCATACCCGGAGTCCAAGGTCAAGTCCTCCAGCGTCTTCAGTGTGGAGCTATACGTCCCGGCCATGGGGGAGCCTGCCGCGGGCGGCCTCGCCAAGCGAGGGGCGCTCACAACTCCATGCCCCCTTCCCCAAGTGGGCAGAAATAAGCTCTAGGCTCTCCGAGGCGCCCTCCTTCCTCTCTGCGCCGCGGGGCTCGGTAGCCGCATCGCCCGCCGGGCCGCAGCGGGAAGGTGGGAGAGATTCGCGGAGAGCTGGAGCCCCAAGCGCCCGGCGTCCGGACCTGAAGCTGTCACTTGGAATGGCTCCTCCTCGGCACTCTCCCTTGCCCACTTCAACTCTCCGCGAGCCGAACGTCTGTCTTCCACAGAGACGAAATCCCTAAAGAAGCGGGCGGCGACAACGTCGGCAAAAGGAGGAGGTGGCTCAGGGCGCAGCGTTAGCCCGGGACCAGCCGGCGAGAAAGCGCTTGACAAACTTCTGCGCTGCGCCGGACGCCAGCACAGCTGGGTACCCGGCTGCGGCCCGCATGCAAATAAGCCCAGGGCGTTCACCAATCAGGAACCGCAACGAGCGGGAGCAACAAATGACATCGGAGAGGGGCGGACACTATGCAGATTTCACTCCGCCTCGGGTGAAACCCCGCGGTGGCGGAGGCGGGGCTGAAGGCCGAGGGTCGCCAGAAGCCTCTAGGATGGCGGTGGAGGAGGGGAAGAAGCGAGCTGGCTGCGAGGTGGGGAGAAGAGACCGGGAAAGGAAGAATCGGAACGTTAGACTCCAGAGCTGACGATTTAAAGAAAAACGTAAAGGAAAAGCCCCTGTGCTCGATCCCTTTCCCGCCATTTAGGCTTTGGGAGTTAGCAGCTCCTTTTCATTCCCTCTGCAGCGAGCGAACGGGGGATGGGGAGTGGGGTGGGGTGGGAGGCGGGATAGGAAAATGGGGAAGGGGATTAAGCCAGGCGCCCCGCCTCTTCCCTAGATTTTCCGCCCAATCCCTCCCCTAGATTTTCCTCCCAGCCCCTCCAGGTTTCTGAGATGAAACACTAGTTGAGTTTGGAGCGGGAAGGGACGCCCCTGCTTCTCCTAAATCCGTCTGGTTTTCGTTACGTTGCCTTTAGGCTCCAACTGGAACAGAATTTTTTTTTTTTTTTTTAACCTGGGATCTGAGGAATCTGATAAATGGACGAGCTCCAATCGCCTCCACGAATACTTTTCCCCACGCCCTTTTTAGTTTCACACCTAATTTTTCTGAGTATAACTGTGGAGGGACAGTCCTAACATCAGATTCTCAAAAGGATCCACGACTTCCCTGTTAACTCTGTATAATACCACTTGCTCTCAGGTGGATCCGTTTGGTCCAAGGCGGGAAAATACGTGTGTAGGGTTATTAGAGGATGGGAAGGTGGGAGAGCGGTCCCTGCACTGGCTTGCGCTCGAGCAAGATGCAGATGTTCAGCTCTTAATGGTGAACCAGTGAGATGCGAAGGTGGGCGAGGCTCGTGCCTCCTTGGGACTCAGTTGACTTGGGGTAAAGCGAGAGGTTGACCTCTAAGAAGCGCCCTGGTAACCCTGGTGTTGGGGCGGGGGTCCAGAAGCGGCTAGAGAGAGCTATTGGTTCCAGCAGAACCACGCCCAGCCCACGCACGTCCCGCTGCCGTCCCCAAACTATTCACACATAACTATTCACACACACGTGCACAACGTAAATTTGCCCCCTCCAGCGGAACCGCAAAATCAAGGAGGGGATTGTGCTCACGTTTCCTGCAAGTTGCACTCCCCCACTCCTGAATGGCTCCTTTGTGTTGTATTTTACACAGTTTTGACCTTGGGCCGTGAGTTGGATACGAACAAGAAATGTCTGGTTTGTCTCTTTCCTTCTTAAATTAATGGTCCTTTCCTCTGTGAAACTGCCTTTTATTTGGCAGTTTCACTTAATTTTGCCTTTACGCGGGTCTTTATTTATATTTATGCAAGGTCGCCGCCTGATGGTTACAATTGGGAACAGAGTCAAAGTTGGAAGTCATAGGAAAGACACAAGTTGGCATCAAATTAACAGAGGAGAATACGGTCACGTCTTTTGGAAATGAGAGTAGAAATCAAAGTTGGTAATGAGGTTCAACTTGTCAAAAACGCTAAAACAAAATTTATGCAGTTAAAAAATGAGTCAAGAGAAATATAATAAAGGAAATGGCGCCCTCTAATGGGCATCTAGAGGAAATGAGCTTCAAAAAGGGGTTTTCTTTTTTCTTTGTCTATACTCTGCAAAAGTAAAGAAAATAAATTGCTTAACTGTAAATGTACAAGGGGAAATTATCTGGAGTATTTCTCCAGAAAAAAAAGATCATTGGGGTTTATATTAATATATTTAAATTACTTGATGGCTTAAAATGTAAAGATAAGTATGCTTTCAGCGGAACCTCAGGATCCCTTGAATGTTAAATTGCACCCCCAGGATATATATGCAGCAAGTTCAATATGGGGAATACTACCAAATAACTGAGTTTCTTTAATAAATAAATTGCAAATCAGTGAAGATCTGGAGATGAACCCAAACCATAAAAGGGACTTAAACATATTAACCAATTACACAATCTGTGGGTTCTATTTGGAATTTGGAGTTTTCTTTAAAGTCAGTAAACATTTCATATTATGAAACCAATGGAGCGTTTGTTTATTTGAGGTGGTTGGGATTGAACCCAGAGCCTCCAGCATGCTAGGCAAGCACCCTACCACTGAGTGGCATCCTCAGTCCTTTGAAACCAATATTTGTTTATGAAATCATTGGTACCTTTTTGTTTTGGTCATGGTGGTGTGATTACACTTAGTAAATATTCTTGTCTTTTACAGAAACATACTGATATTAGTGTTTTGTAATTTTCTCCATTAAAGGGGGAAGGAAATCCCTATGGAAAAAATCAAGTAAAAGGACTAGAAAGTCATGAAAGACTATAGATCTCTTAACTTCCAATTCCCCCCCTCCCAAAGTCTTCTTTTTAACTTGAGGACTGGAGGTGCCAAGTAAACCCAAACTGCATCTGTGTTTATATTTTGGGGTTTTTTTTAATTCTTAAGTTTTAGGTGGACACAATATCTTTATTTTACATTTATGTGGCATTGAGGATCGAACCCAGTGCCTTGTGCATGCTAGGTGAACACTCTACCTCTGAGCCGCAACCCAGCCCCTGTGTTTGTATTTTGTGTGATGTGAGAGAAGGAAAAGGAAAAGAAAGGCAGAGATAGGAAAAGATATATCCAACCATCTGAGAAGTGAACCAACTGATTGATTTCAGTGAATTTTTTGTGAGGTTGGCAAGCACAGTAAAATACAAAACCTTGGACCAAAAAAGGAAAGGATGTGTGTGTGTGTGTGTGTGTGTGTGTGTGTTTAATTAAGGCAACTTGGTGGTGATGTTTTTAAATTTAGGAATGAAAATTATATTAGAAGAAGAGAAAATGTCATCCTTCCTCAGACCTGGACCAGATATAATCCTTGAAGGAAAAGAGCTGCTTGTGTAGATGAGCAAGATGAACAGAACATGATAAAACCACTTCTAACATTGGGGAAGTTCCCAGTGGAGTGAACAATTTAAAAATGGAACTGGGATTGCCCAATGAAAAATCACGTAAGGAGGAAGCTTGAAATGAAGTTTAGAAACTTTACCTTAGGAAAGGTCTCCTATTTGGATATACAGTTTTTTACCAAATCAAAACCAACCTGGAATTAGGGGACAAAATACCCTAAAATTTATCCAAAAGCAAAGGGATTATAAACCTACACATTGAAGCACAGACAGAGCTCTCTCATAAGAAAGCCCTTGACTTTGGAGGGTGGCCAAGTTTTTGGTTTGCGGATCACTGTTGAGGCATTAGTCACATATATCTTGTATGTGTGTATGTGTGTGTAACCTCTGCTGGCCAAGAAGGCATATTATAAAGTACTTTAAGCAGGGGAGTAACATGTTCAGATTTAGGGATATAGATTTGAAATAAGTTTATAGTGGAGGAAACATTACCTGCTTGTTAGTTTGTAGCCTTTCTTTCCTCCAAAAATAAGCTCCTTTAGGGCAGGGAACTTCTCAGTTGTGTTCACCATGTTGCCTAGGTCAATGTGAGCATAACAATGGAACTCAAGAAATATTGGGTAAATGAACAAATGA